CGAGGCCTGCTCACGCCAAAAAAAGCCCTGCAAACTCGCTATCTGCGCCATTTTTGCTAATTTTGTGGTGTTTTTTGTGAATATTTTTGCTAATTTTGTGGTGTATTTTTTTTGGAATATTTTCCAAAATTATAAAATGTGCTACAAAGTAATATTTTGCCAGAACAGGTATGCAGCCCAGCACGAGCAGACTGGAGCAATTGTTTTTTTCGTTTTGACTTTCTCTTTTCTTCCGCATCTCAATTCGAACTGAATCCAGCTTGGCAGTTTTTAAGAGCAAACAACAGGCACTTGAACAAGCGCATAGAAGTCTGTTGGATTTTTAAATTCTTTTACATGGGTAATGTGGAAATTCTGTGTTTGGCTTCTACAATTCTACAAAATTTGTTTGCAACCAGACTTTGCAACTTCAGACTTCTCTAACAAAGTTGTAGTCCAAAGAAAGAAGTTTTGAACTTCCCTACAGAAGTTTTGGCTTCCACTTGCACCCAACATTTGTGTTGAAGCAGCTGCTACTGTTTTCTCCGGAACGGATTTTGCAGATACTTTGGAAAATTGCATTTGGAGAAGTTTTGTCACGCGCCCAGACCCCCACTTACTTATACAAATTCGTGTTTCCACCAGCCGGTGCCGTTCAATGGACTGGACATCGACCGATGCGTTTTTGCACTGTTAGTGTGGTAAACAACTGTTAGAATCAGTACAGCTAACCACATTTCTTCCGCTAATGTAATTGCTGCTGATTGAGTCACGATGCATGGTCGATTGGCAAAATTCTGCGATTGGCTGTAGAAATACGTTGACCTAGAATTGGTTGGCAAATTTGCTGTCTTGGCTGTTTCTGGATTAGATCTAACCTTTTAAGGGCCTTAACATTGAGAGGCTTAACACTTTAACATCAGTCTTCTACAGAGCGTGTGCTTTTGCCAACGACCTGCAGTGCAATCATCGGCATCTCAAGCTCAGCCTCCCGCCCAACCTGGCCAAAAAGTACGGCTTCCGGTGCGAATGAGATGACCTGATGCTTGCACAAACCCTTTGGACTTTGGATCTGCTGAGTGCCCATTCCATGTTTCTTTGTGGATTTTTTCCGAATGCTACTCTCGTGAAGATTTTACCGAACCTCGCTCATGAGCAACAAGATCAGCTTGTTTCTTTTGCTACACTGTACCACTTTGCCTATGAAACGAAAGAAACAAAGAGTTGAAGGTCCTTGCTTTCATCATGCTCGTTTTACTCATGTTTGGTCCCCATCTGGACGTTGTTTGGATGGCAACCATCAAGTTTTCCGACATCAACCCGTGTCAGGTGATGTGCGAGTATGTGCGTGTCATGAGCAATCTGCAAGCGAACAGATTTGAGCATGCAGTCGATCCATGCTACAACATCTTTACCGACATGTTTCTTCAACAAGCTTGCAACGTCATGCGGGGCAGCAGCAGCAGCAGTGGACCTTGATTGCAGTCGCGTGCTAAATTTGGGATGTTGTCGCAATGCCGCCTCGAAAGCGGCCGAGTGTTGCAGCCCCCATCACTCCAGGAGCAAGTGTTCGACGGACAGTGTAGTGCTTCTGAGTTCGCGAAGCTTGCTACTCGGGCTGCGCAAGACAGGCCGAAGCAGCAAGTCACGAACTGCGGCGCACGCTTTAGAGGCCGTGTACGTTGCAAGATCAGGTTGCGAACTTGATGCATTGTGTTTATCTTTTGAGTGACTTGCGACTTGTGGCAATTTTGGTCAAGAGGCCGACGACGAGTCGATGGCGTCATCGCCGAGATCTGGCCGACAACCAGGTGCACTGGGCTACCGAACAGCTGTCAAATGTTGTGGTGTACATGTGAAAGCCATAAAGTGTTTGAGTACGATGCGAAGGACATCCAGCAGCGGGGCTTGTGTCTCAGCTTCCTGACGACCGAAATGATGTTCACAGCACTTTTCGTGCCAGTAGCATCGCTGGCACCTGCAGCGTGGTTGAGGCGGTACACAGTTGCGGCGCATGAAGCAGATGCTGAGCTCCAAGATGATGGCAGCTCCATAGGACTGACGGTACAGTGTTCGCAAACACGAAAAAGGGTGTTGTCTCGAGCAGGAGAGGGCGCTAGAGCTGCGATTCTCTTCCATGAGCCATTCTTTGATGCGGCCATGGTGCAACTGGAAGCTGGCGGATCTGCTTCTTGCTCAGATTGTTAGCAAACACTTCTGTGAGTCTGTGACTAGCAGTCTTTTCCATCATTTTCGTGTCGTTCATTGCAGGAAATGACGGAACGGAATGACACAGGCCTTTGGAATGCAAAGTCCCATGTCAATTCTTGGCCCGCGGGGCCCGCTGCTTTCACGAGTTCTCTGAGCGTTGGCAGATCTGGAGATGCTGTACTTCGTCACAGAAGCCGAGGACGGCCAGGCGAAGACCGGCAAAGCCACGACGGGCGGAGGGTGTTTTCAACTGCAGGGGATGGTGCAAGTAGTCTAAGTAGTCAGTCAGGTAGTGCTTTGCAAGATTTTGGCACTTTGTGGTGCTTTGTCCAGATTCGCTTAGCAGCAGTTCGACGAAGGTCGAGTTTCGACTTCCTGAAACGGGCTTCAACCAGAAGTTATCTCGAGGTGGAGAGGTGCGCCCGCAGGTATCGCGTCGAAAGTAGGCTGAAAGCCTGTCACCGACACCACAAGCTGCGCATGTACGCCATTGGTGTGAAGCGTCCTGCGCCTCTCTTGCTTGCCAGAGGTCCTCGTCCCAGCGGGCGCAGCCTTCACTTTGAGGACAGATGTCGACATCCAGCCTATTTGATTTCTGCATTTGCTTGCACGAGTGGCAGGAACATGAGCCCGGCTATTCCCGCAAAGCTGCTGGCAGTCGTTCCACGGTAGTTTGTGCCCTGAAAGTGAACAAGCCAATGCACTCGGTTGTTTCACCAGCGACCATGGAAGTGCAACTGTTGCCAGTAGCACCTGAGCAGACCGAGCCAAAGTGTAACTTATCCGAAAATGTATCTGCGGCTCGTATCATATGCAACAGTCAGCCACGTTGCAAATTACTGCGGCATCCTGGGCACTTCCCTGGAATTTATCATAAGTTGTGCGTTTCTGAACGCTCACAGCAGCACTAGGTAGGAGGATGCAGGGTACGGCAGCTGTCAGTCAAGGCTGCCTACTTGCAGTCAGCTCTCTGTGTACGTGGAATCATCAAGAAGACAGCCAAAGCCACAAGATTACAGATGCTGTTATTTCAGATGGTAAAAGTCTTGAAGCCTGCAGCTGGCGTAATTAAGTTGGCTTGACTCTGTATGCATGCAAAAAGAAGACTGGCCACGGTGTCTCAAAGTCTCTCACGGCTTCGGCGGTCACCTGCGCACCGGCTGTGATCATGGCTGTTCGAGAAACAAAGGCGAAAGACAAATCGAATCACATCCATGACAAACCAGCTGGGCGAAGAAATCACACATGCCCTCAGTGGCGGACGATCACCTTTGCAGAGCCACCGCCTTCATGTTGGTCTCTGGATGTCAGCTTCAGCGCGCCCCGTGGAGATGCCGGCGCCCCAGCCGTAGTCAGCCAGGGCTCGACTCCCAAGACCCTCTTCTATGCATTCTAAAACAGGGCACAGTGTTTTTGGAGGCAGCGTGTCGGTCCACGAGGCGGTCCAGAAAGCTTCCAGGATGCTGTGTGTCTCTGTGCATCAAGTGACACTTAGAGGACTTCTTCCGACTTCCTTGTTTCCGGCCCGGAGAACTGTTGCAGGACTGGACAGGCAGTATCCTCCAGCAGTTCCTCGCGAATCTCCCGACTGGGTGCATGGTCTGAGTTGCTCTTGGCAGTCGTGAACTTCGATCAAGCTTGGCTCTGGCGAGGCCAAATGGCGGTGTGGCTGGCGCTGGCCAAAAGTGCGACCTGTGACTGTCAGCAGCAAGCGCAACTTTGCAACATGTACCTTGAAGGACCGCGACCGAGATATGTAGCCTGCTCGGACGGAGGCTGCACCAGCGAGCTGCACTTCTGCGCATCCTTGCAGCATCTTGCAGCATGTGTTTTCGTATGATTTGTGACTCGTGATGATCGACCCATGCAGTTTTCCTCAGCGTGCGATTGCCTGTAGTGTTGGCGAACCCTCTTCCCAAATGGCACGTGGATCTTCGTC